GAACTTGGAAGATTTTTTAAAGTCTATTTCTTTAGGTTGTGGGCCATCTGATTGGTTTAACTGTCTAGGTTAAAATATTACCAAATAACCAATTAAACAAACAGATCTCAGACGGGTAGAGAAGCTTGAAATTGGGACAGCCTTTACAATCCTAACGACTGTTGTTGTTCAGCACAATAGGTAAAGATTAAAATATCAGACCCTTACCACCCCTCTCGAACAATCACCATCAAGCAAAGTACTCTGATAGGTGGAACGACAACTGATCGATGTGGATTAGCTTGAAGCGACAAGTTGTTCACAAACTCACATGCACACATAAGCGACAGAGTCAACTATAAATATTCAGTCAGTTATGGTTCTTTATCGAGTTGCAGAAATGTGTCGCAAGTGCTTTGAACAGGTGAGTTTCTCTCTTGATAATATTAGCTTTACGCTGTTATTGTCGTAACAGAATCGTAAACATGATTTCCTAAAATATAAACAATAGTGTTTAAGTGCATAGAACTCAACTGCATTCCGTCAACTAAAGCTTTATGATAAGTAGATTAATACTATCACAGAATATGAGTTCCGAATATATAATAGCCATATTATATTTGCGGATATTTTATCATCAATGTTTCTTTAGACAATCTGATCGAAAAAAATATTGAGGTTCTCGAAGTAGGTTATTAGGTACCCATACCTTGTACCCTAGATATGAAGTAAAATTTGCCTCGGTATGTTAACCATGAGTTTTCATGTGGAGATAGACATACAACGTATCTGTTATTGTTTCTATCCATATGAGAGCTTAAGACAATGGCTATGCCGTTTGATTAACCGACCCACATTGCAGCAGGATGTTAGATAGGGTGCTAAAGACTTAATGACAGGCAACTAAATTGTCAGTGCACACATCACAAGACTACCAAAATAAGTGTGGCTGGCACAATTGCTGGAATTGATTCACGCTATGATAAAGTTAGTTAGCATGCAATTAAGTACTAAGATAACACTATCAAATCAAAAAAGTGAAGTGTTTTATTTTTTCAACCAAAAGCATTCAAGGTTCTTGTAGCTCAAACTATTATTCAGAAAAATCGATCTTACAATTTTTTTTACAGAAATGGCCATCATCACTCTCCTACCATGATGACAAGTTTGAAGAAGAGACGTTAAAACAAGACAGAGAAATCAAAGATGTCGTGGAAGGTCTTCACCAACTATCACTCCCGTGTCGTGATGACAAATTTAAAATAAGATCATCAAGACAATGTGAAGCCGAACGTGTTATAGACGGTATTCAAAGTTTTTGGTGTAAAACTAAGCCCAGGTTGACCTAAGTTTGTCATGTATAGGAAATTTGTTTACTCACAATATCCGCGTTTACATATAAAGAAGTGTTTTTTATGGTTGATCTAGAATTCTGTTCAGTTTGATACGATGGTTCAGATGATTATTTAATTTTTTTAAAATCTTTTTGATTTTAGATTGTATGAATGGCTTGGCTGTTGTAGGGGGTGTAGTTTTGGGAGCGGCTGCGTTGTTCGGTATTGGGCTCGCTGTTGGTCTCGGTTCGAAAGAGTTAAGACGTCGCAGATATTGACTTGAAATTTCATTATGTCATAAAATAAACAATCATTTTTAATCCAAACTTTCTTTTGACTAAAGCTCGTTCCTATGTCACTTAATACTGAGTATTTGAGATATCATGATGTTGAGAACGAATCGTTTCGCGGATGGTGGGATAAAAGTTTTTCTACGTTATTAATCTTAAATGCATGTGGTGTCGAAAATACGCAATACAAGCTCAAGAAACGGGGACGACATAGATAGTAAGCCGCACGTTGATATGAACAGCGGATGCGATGGTATTTAGATTAAGTACAGGACTGAGTGAGCAAGACGACATTAATGTCTGTGGATTTCTCATACTGTTGATAAGTTGATAAAATCGGGATATATGTAATGTGAGAATCTGAGATTACTCGTACATCACTAACTCATGTTAGGTTGTAAGCGTATGGCAATGAAGTAATCGAAAATACGTGAATTTCATTATTTGTGCTGTATTTATTTGTCAGATAATTTTAGGTGTATTCACGATGAAACTGGTTGCAACTTGCACATTTTCTCCTCAATCGTAAAGACCTCTCATCCAGTCACTATATGTTTGTATGTGTTTATTGGTGATAGTATGATCTATGTATTCATTATCACATTTACGGAGTGTGACCTACATATGTCATATATCACTTATTTTCATAAGCAAATAAACTCAGCTTACACGTAAGTGATCTTAAACAAGATGATATAACACATAATTATATTATTGACTATATAACCACATGTTCGCACAGTCAAGCGTTTCAGAAAGTTGTCTGATGGTATAATTTAGGTAAGACGTATAAACACTCAGCCCATAAAGCATTAGTTCAGTTATTCATTTATTCATTGATTGCGACTACTTGGATAGAGTATATTCGAATGCTTATGTTATTTGTGTGAAGAAACACCTGAAATGGTAGAAGTCATATAATGTGCAAGTGTTTTATTCTTTCGATGTGTTTCAGTACAGAAATTAATAAGCCGTTACAAAATCTTTTTTTTCTATTCGTACATTCTTCATAGAAAACACCAATTAAACATAAATAAAGCCTGAAAGAGTTACTTCTTTATCTTCCCTCCGTCTTTCATGAGTAATAACTGCTATATTGATCTGAGAAATAAGTGAATGTATTGTGACATATATATTCAGTGATTTTCGTAAGGACACACTTTATATCTAATCACATATTCAATATCTATTGTTACTCTGTATCAATGTTGAAGAAACGGATATAATTGTTTTCCTGTACACACACACACACACTAACGCGATTATTAAGAATAGACGCTCTCTTTATTATTATTATTATTATTATTATTATTATTATTATTATTATTATTATTATTATTATTATTATTATTAGCTTTATTCAATATTATATTTTTGGTACATTATAGAATTCTCAGCACAAAGTATTTCGAAAAGTTTCCGTTTCTTACTTCTTGGACGATCCTGACGATAAATAATGAGTGATCGCCAGTTAGATGTTAGCAGTCCAGTAAATGAACATCTGAATAATGTATATTCTTTTCGCTGCATATTGCCAGCGACCACAACATCTCTTATTGGGCTTTTTGTAACTTTGACAACGAAAGGTTGTACACTTTTCAGAAACGCACTTGTTGAAATATCTAGATGGCAGGAACAGGTAACCAGATGCTCAAACAGGCCACCGTCTGTTCTTCTGCTTTACTGACCACGGCCTTTGACTGTAGATCATCATAGTGTCATAAAGATGATATCTGGGTGACAATTGAAAAGACATCATTCTTAAATTCGACATTACATAGTGAGAGACATGTACGGAAATTATTAAACATTTGTTACATGGGTTGTGAAACGGAAATGATAGTAATGACCTATTGTGGATTTGATTCTCCTTCATTTTTGAGGGGAATTTTCGTCAGCTACAACATTCGACAGGTGAGTGTCAGACGTAGGCCGATCATCGCAAATAATTTCTAAAACCTATAATTTATGTCACCAAATGACAGTACGACAAGTCATATTTTATGGAAAAAGTTATAGTTTGAAGGAATATGTTCAACATTTGTTATCCGACTTCGTGTCTTCGAATTCCTCGAAACAAATAAGTACCTAAAATGTGTGACAATATTTAAAACATAGATTTGGTAATATCAAACTTTACATCAGACAACTTCTATATCCGTGGATTTTTTCATGATTCGAATAGTTGCATTCATGATTTCGATTAAACTTCCTACCAGGCTCATTGAATTATCTAAATATAAATGATGGACACTCATATTACGTCAATTAATTAAGGAAACCCATATGTTAATGATTATTTCACTTTCTACATTAACGATTTTATTTGTAATTTCGTTTTCACAATCAATGCTCCAAGTAAATAAATTCTTTTCCTAAATGAAATGTATTCATTGTACGCTTTCATCGATCCTTAGAACCAAGAAGAGATTTTGATAAAATAATAGTCACCTTCGAGAACTAAATTCTATCACTCATAGGAGGAACTGGTGATATGCTACACTTAATTTAGAATGGTTTGTAAACCATTTACTGATGCTAAACGGCTTATTGGAAGTAACATGATCAATTGTGACTTAACTAATTTGCTTAATTCTCTAAAATCCATTTGGTCAGAAAAAATGGTACTACTCTGTTAAACTTTATACGAATGAAATCTAAGCTTTCGTTGAAACTAATTATTCGTACGTGCAATTGTTAAATTCTTTAAAAGATGTTTCGTGTATTTCAAATGTGTGATATAATTCACTATTATAATAATAATAATAATCTGATATTCTCAATCATTTACCGAAAATACACTTATAAACACTAATTTAAGCTCATAACTTGGGAATTGTTAGTCCAACTTATTGTTTGGTTTGATGCTACATACTAGGACTCATATCAATTGAACTATCATTTAGCGTACTAATGAATTAAAATATTTTCATGGAAATTATAGTGATAATTAAAACCAGTTTTAGTCATAGCGGCATCAAATTAACTGTAATTTTCCCATCAAAATGAATGGTCAAAGTTGTTGACAAACCATGTGGTGTGTGGTACTTATACGGACAGATATATGTAGTATGCATTGACAGTTATAAGTAGGAACATGAGGAGAACAAAAAGAAAACAGAAGCAGTTCGAGTAGCAACAAAAATGGAAGAACAATGGGATTCGTGAGAGATAATTTAGAAATATATACAAATGGTGCATTCAATTTATTGTTTTCATAATTTACAAAAGCTGTATATGAAAGCTATCAATACGATAAATTGGTGTACACTAACCTAGCCTTTGTTCATTACAACAATTCATATATCAGTTATAAATTTTATCGGATTGATGAACCACCATTAGATATGATGCTGTTGTAAAAGATTTAGCTGATCCAGACAAGAGGATTTCAATAATGGCTGCGGATAAAGCCATCATGCCCAATAATGAGTTTTTCGACGATCCAGAAGAAGGTTCTGGACTTGGAGGCACTACACTTCGATCAGGCAAATCAGCTTCACGAGATGTTCAAAATCACCGAGACCAACCAAAACGCGCACGCACGGATGAAGATGCCAGTTCATCCACCACGAAATCAAACAGTAAAGAAGGAAGTGGGTCTAAAAAGTCAGATTCTACCAGTGACAAGGTAAAATCAATTTGTCATCACTGATTTCTATGATTACTTATGATAGTTAGATGTTATGTCCCCTATTGTAGACCACTTTTTTAGTTAACTGTCATCATTGTACTATTGAAATGTGTCAAGTAATTACTTTTTTAGGTATGTAGTTTGTTAGTATGTGTTGAATGTCGCTCTCACTAGTGTTTAGAACTAAACAATAAATACGATTGACACTAATGAATGTACTGATCCCCACATGTTTCATACTTCTGTACCTTTCAAGATGTTTGGGTAGCGTAGTGAAGATCGATATTCCTGTACCCATTTTGAAATGTAGTTGTTCATAATCGTTTCATACTGTTTTCAATATGTTATCTCTAGCACAAAATTAGAAGACCTTCCTGAGATCGCACTTGGATACTTTCATCTCGTTGACCACATTTCCAATTCAACCAAACTACTAATAATAGAGCCATATTGTATCTATCAGCAACTGTTATCTGTTTAGTGACTTGATTAGTTCATGATGGAGAGTTAGTAGTAGTAATAATCTGAGATTTTATTCATCCTTCTTAATCTGTGTATATTTTCTCATTCTTATACACAATTGATTAGTGAGAGATCTAATAGAATGGCACTTAACACTTCTGTTCGGTTTTAGGTTCATGTGACCTTGTCCTCGCTTTTAGGTAACCGTCTATCCATTTCCATTGCTAACTAAATATCTACAACACTATCCAACTGAACTACTTAATAATTCTTTATGACAATTGCTTTCAGCAAACCGTGGTAATTCAACGTCCTTTGTTCATTAATTGTCCTAATCGTCGAATTGACTACTGTTTGGCGAAGCAGTCGCCATTAAGAGACAAACCAAATTTGTGTATCTAAAATTATTCAGTTACCAATCTTGGTCTGCGTTTGTGAACTCATTCACAAATGTTTATTATGCAATTTTTTTCATGACACTAATTGTTAATACTAACTTATTATCTGATCTGTACTCAGTTAATTTTGTTTTAAGGGTTACATAACTATAGCATGAATATCTTATTTCTAAATAATTTTGTTTCTATATTTTCAGTCGTTCATACAAGAATATTTTTATATTCACATTATTTAACATATGAACACTTATAGTTCTTCCATAGTTATTGCTTTTTTCATTAATCCTTATTGTTGATAACACTTCTGATACTACAATATAACGCGTGTACACTGATTTTTAATGATTAGTACTATTATGTTTAGGCTGTAAGCAGCTGACTAGAAATCGCGAAATATGGTGGATTCATGTTATTCTGTTACATTAATTTTTCTTGCCTTATTCAAATTTATAAATGGGAGGAATTGTATTAAACTAACTTTTTACACGATTGAAAATTCCCATTAGTAAGTCTTTAGGAGATAGTAATCTGTTTCAACAAGCTCGTATCTCTGATTTGCCCAGAAACCACATAGTACTTGGTCATATCATAAATAATAGTGATTCTCGTCACTGGCTTATTTGTATGTGGTGATAAAGACTCATTTCCTTTTGGTTATGGATATTCATTTGGTTGTGTGAATTGCGTGCGGAGTTTGACGAAAGTCAGATAAGTTTACGCTTAAAAACAATACGACTTGCCTATTAATAAAATTAATCTTTACGATAAAATCGAACACTTGTATTCATACATGATTATTAGTCATTTAAATCATAAACTACCATAGAATACGAGTTTAGAGGTTAAATCTATCATTAGAATTGAGATTTGAACATCTGGCTTAACTTTCGCTCGTTTTAACTTTATCAATCATTTAATAATTTCTCGTTTTAGCGTTCGGAGTCCAAAAGCGATTTTGTAGAAAAAATGGAGGTCGATTTATCTAAAAAAGCCAACGGTCTAATAGAACCGGAGCGAGCTGCTAATTAACTGGGTTTCTGTCACATTGTTTACTCTTAATAATTTTTGTAAATGTCTTTGTCCCTGTCTTCTTTTATACAAATAATCCCCCGTGATTCACATGAATGTCATGTTTATGATATCCTGTGTTCATTGTTTGTTTGACATCTAACTATATGTATTCTCTCTTCTTATTTTCCGGAATTGCCTGTCATATTGTACGCATTTATTCGACTTAAATACTACTAAATTGTACAGTTCCTGCAAAAGTATACCATTTGCTATTCTAATGTTCAGTGAATTCAATTTTGCTTATATGTTTTATGATAAAGGTAGGTAATAAAAATTTACAGTATTCAAATGACCACTTTTCTGTAATTCAAAAATATATCGACCAGCTGGCAGCAGGGTGGAAAATCATTTTTCGAACAAGTTATTCATTTTGTACAGTTTTGTTTAGAAAATGAGTACGTAAATAAACAGCAACATTTCACTGAATCACTTCAAAGTAGTGTTCTTTTAGTTAGCGAAAGTTAAGCTATATTAATAAGTGCTACTGGAATAAGAAAGGTTAGTTTGATGTATACGAAAACTTATTGTCTATTTGAACTTACATTTCTATGCATTAACAACAGGTTTAGTCACAGAAGAATATACATGCCTCTTATGCGAATACCCAGTTATAACAGCTACATGTTATTAGTTTCCGAAATAAAAGGAGCACAATAATACTGTTTTGTGATACAACTAATCGTGAATTTTAAAATGACTTGTACGTTACGATCTGTAAAGCAAGTATCCATTGTTTATAAAGCTGTATCTCGTACTCTTTCTACCTTTCACGTTGAAAAATCTACAGTGAGTTTATGGGACACTCACTATGCAAGCATTTAATGTCAGAAATTAATATAGGAGAATAACGATTACTTACTGACTATGAAGAATATTTGTAGAACTTAGTCCATTTCGGTGACGAAGTTCTGGTTATCCTACTTGAGTTTACCCATGAAGTTTTGTTAGAGCAAATGGTTGTGTCCAAACATAGATGCTTCCATATTTTCAGCGGTGGCCTAGCTTAGAATTCAACTGATAAAATTACTATAATCTCCACAAACCCCAATTCTGATAATAAGTAGAATGTGGTGCAACAGAAAGGATAAGTAAGTAATATGAGTGAAGGATCCAATTTTCGTTTGTTTGGTGGTAGCCTTTCTGATATTTCGCCATTGGAAATTGTCACGTAATCTTAGAACTAATTTGATTGATATGTTTTACAGTGAGTCTCTAATACTTGGGCCTCACTACAGGTCTTTGTAATTCCAATAGATAAGTATGGTTGTGATGTGCATGCTTTTGTGTAGAACTCAAATTGTTTCTCTAGTCATATACAGGAACTAAAGGTAAATTAAACACAGTACTTAAAGTTCTCAAATATGTTTTAGCATCTGATATTTGTTTATGTAGAATTTGTACTAACTGATTATTTCTGTGCAATTGATTGCCAGATAATTATGAATTCCGAATATAACACGTTCATTAGTGCTCATCTAGCTTAAATTATATTCGTGGGGACAGTGAAATGTCACTGATCTCTATTCAAATCATCCGGCAGTTGAGTCACTTAATATCGAAAAGATCATCAATCCCTGTCAAGCACATTCAACGCGAATCGGTTAATCGTACACCATGTATAGCAGTTCCAATGGTTGTGATGTGTATGTTTTTGTGTAGGACTTTGTCTGTTCATAACAAATGACTAGAAATTACCAGTTAAATGTCAACTGGAAGTTGTCCAATTCGCTTTTTTGCATTTCCGCTCATGCCTAGGATATCATAGATCGAGCAAATTCTGTCACTGTAATTTTCACGCGATTTATAAGTCAATCCCGTGCTTACGAATCTGTTATCAGGATGTTGGATGAGACCTCACAATTATTTGCGTTAAACTCGAATAACGCTATTTACTAAGTAGACTACTGGATAGTGTCATAAATGATAAGTTTCAATAGGTACATGGCAAGGGTATTTTCGATACATAGCTAAGTTACATACTAATTTAAGAGCGGAAAATGACATGAGAACAGTTACTGAGTAGGAACGAGAGCTTACAATTAGAAAAATGTAAAAGTTATGTACAACAGCTATTTGATAAATTTTCGTCAAGAATGTAGTAGCTACTTCGCAAAAGAACGACCACTCGAACTTCGTGGACTTTGTTTATTCCTAGAAGCGTTCAACCCATTGATTCAGGTTCTAGGTAACCGCTATGGACAGTCTATGTAACACAGCTCGAAATGCTGGATGATTAGATTTGATCCTCGGTAAGAGTTACACCCCGATATGCAGCGCTCACTCACCATATCAAGGAAATAATGAATGAAAGCGCTTTGAATATTACAGTGTGATGGACACGATTTGTCCATAGTTGACTAAATGCTCCAGAATAGTCTTTTTAAAATAATCTACACATTCAAAGGAATTAAATCGAAGGGAGGTCGAATCAAAAACTTATGCACTGCTGAGGTATTGGCATTTCACCAACTGAAGCCTGAAATCTGCGTGCAAATACAATAAGACCAACCTCTCATCCTTCTTTCACCCCAATTCCATTTTTGTAGTCTGTTTTAGTTAATTTTTCTAAATCAGTGTTTTGTAATTTTACACCGCAATCAGTTACTATTATCCTTTAATAGTTTTTCATTATTATTATTCAGTTATTATTACGACCTTTGTGTTTTTCATTTTTCCTCACATTTGTCAAGAGGACAGTTATCTTTGTAGTAGTAAATAAATCCCTGGAATCAATAACTCTGTAAGTCTTCGACGTTTGATACTGGCCAGATTAATTTGGATGGACTCACCTAGCTGAAGTCACGCATCCGCACCAGATCACGAGTGAGAACGCTGTGCTTCACATCTACGACCACTAGCCAGTTTAAATTAGTCACTTCTCGATATATCGATATTCTATCATATATATCTTCGAACCTCCTCGCATTTGATTTCACCAGGTTGGCACGTTTCGATTATAAAAGGTGTTACTGGTTAAGGTGTTTTCAAACTCAGAATATTTGTGGCATGTTTATCTTTTATAATTCTGACTCGTAAATTATTTTCGTCCTCATACACTTCTCTTACCCTTTGAGTATTTCTTAACTTCATTTGATAAAAAGTCTCGAATCACTTTATGACGCAATATTTTCTATCCTACTATAGACACGTATTTACCTCACAACTGTTGATACGAATGTGCAGCATATGCAAATGGTTTCATCGAAAATAAAAATCCCCATCCCTGAATTCTCTTTATTTTTATTCAGTGACACTTTAATTGAATTTATTTCAGCTAAAGTAATTTCGTACTTGCGTGCATTGACTTGGCTTACGTGTATTTATTGCATCAAAGCATACTTAGTCAACTTTGAATTGATTTATTTCGGCTGGGGTTTTAAATGTTTTTCAAATCCACTTTTGGTTTATTTTTAAGATGGTCGGCCCTACTCAGAAATGTGGACTGCCATATTGCTTATTCCCTGTGGAGGAAGGAATGAAATGTGGTGAGTGTAATGCGTGATTCCATAAGATTTGTACTCGCCTGAATACCACTGCATATAAAAGGTGCTCAATACCTAACTTCCATTGGCTTGGTATGTTTTGTTGTTCAAGCAGGGCATTACTCATCCAAGAGGCGATTAGCCTTCTGTTGTTGCCTAACATATATCGTTATTCTATCAAATATATCTTTGAACCTCTTCGCTTCTTACTTTCGATTTCCCTAGATAGGCACGTTTTATTATAGGTGTTATTGGTTGAGTTGTCCAATTCCGAATACTTGTGGCATGTTTATATAGTAGTAAGTTATGTCTTATAACACAACTATACATAATTCATAAAGATTTGTACTTGTTTTTGTCTCATTTACCACAAAGTCTTCAGTCTTCAGTCTTCAGTAATAAGGATAGGAGGTCTGTCGACCTATATTAATCCTTGCAGTTTGTAATACTGTGGAGGTCCAATCTCGTTTTGAATATATTAACAGACGGTGCTGATATTACGTGTTCCGGTAGGGAATTCCAGTAATTCACTACTCGGTGCGAGAAACGGAACTCCAGACGTAAACGGTTTGACCTCGGTTTTTGAACTTTCTTCGAATGTCCTCTCAAATGATCGGTTCTAGACGGAAGCAAAAGATAAGACATGTTAATACCAAGGTCATCGTTCAGTATACGATAAGCCAATATTAGATCACCCCGTACTCTATGGTAAGATAACGGAAATAAGTTAAGGTGTCTCAGTCTGTCTTCATAAGATAGGCCAGCTAGACCTTGTACCATCTTAGTAGCTCGTCGTTGGACTCTTTCTAGCATATCTGCTTCATATTTGAAACAAGGACTCGCTGCTTGAATCCCGTATTCTAAATGTGGTCGCACATAAATCGGGTATAGTAATCCAAACATTTCATCATCTAAATACTGGAAAGACCTACGAATTGACCATAATACCCTATAGCCTTTTGCAGCAGCAGCCTTACAGTGACTAGTCGTTTTGAGATCATTGCTTAATATAACTCCTAAGTCTTTATAGTTTCTTGCTTTGGGTAGCACGAATCCACGTAGTGTATAGTCATACGATTCATCTGAGTTATTTAACTGCATCACTACACTCTTATTAGGATTTACTTCTAGTGACCACCTGTCTAACCATGCCACCAATGAGCTAAGATCGTCCTGTAATACTATTCTATCCGACATACTATGTATGGGTCTCCAAATCTTTATGTCATCAGCGAAGAGTAGAACGGATGATTTTGCTACAGTTGGCAATTCATTTACATAAAGTAAAAAGAGAAGAGGACCTAGGATTGTGCCTTGGGGAACCCCACTTTTTACAGGTACCCACGAGGAGAGAGCCCCATTAACCCTTACCCTTTGTCTCCTGTCATGGAGAAAGTTACTTATCCAATCGACGACTGTGTTATGGATTCCAAAACGTTTCAGTTTGAATTTAAGACCAGAGTGTGAAACCTTATCAAAGGCTTTACTTAGATCTATGAAAATTACATCCACACAAGCATTCCGATCCTTTGCCGCAGCCCACTCTTCTCGTACAATGAAAAGATTTGTCAAGCAAGATAGGCCTTTCCGAAAACCATGTTGTGCCCTGGAGAAAAGATTTTGCCCTTCAACATAGTTTATAACAGCTGTCCGAATGATTTTCTCCATCAGTTTCACAACTGCACTAGTTAAGCTAACGGGTCTATAGTTACTAACTAAATCCCTACTCCCAGCCTTATACACCGGACTTATTATGGCGTCTTTCCAGTCTCTAGGAAGTCTGGACTGTCTCAGAGACATGTCGAATAGTATCGCTAATGGTTCAGCGATTTCACCTGATATGGCTTTCATAATCCTAGGATGAATATCATCGGGACCACTGGACTTATCAGGTTTGAGATGCTGAAGTAGCCTTAAAACAGTATCTTTCTCAATGACTACAGGATCCATCAGCGAGCCGTCACGGTCACAATGAATCATTGGTCGTTCCTCATTACCGATAGAAAACACTTTACTAAAATATTCCGATAAAGCTTCAGCTTTTTCGGCATCATTCTCTGCTAAGATTAACGGATTGTCTTGTGTCAAAAGTGATGGAATTCCATCTCTTCTCTTAGTTCGCCTTTTTATATACGAGAATAACCGTTTCGGACTATATCTAGAATCCCTAACCAATTGTTTTTCGTATGAATGTCTAGTCTTGCTTATTAACGCTTTACAGGCATTCCTAATCTTACAATAACTGGATCTGTATTGTTCTAAGCCAGTAGAGATGAACATATTCCAGTGATTCTTCCTTTTTCTAAGGAGTTTCCTGACCGTTTTAGTTATCCATGGTGGACTATTTTTCGGTCTTCGCGGTACCAGGTATGGTATGAACGGGGACGTAACTAGTCTAAATTTACCTTTAAATACAGACCATGCTTCTTCAACTGATATGCTAGTATCTACTAACCAATCTGTCTTAGCAGCGCATTCCTGAATGGCTGATATGTTAGCTTTCCATACATTTGGGCGCGGTGTAACCTGATCGTATAACATGTCCCTAGTTCTAAACGCGAATGACAAGACAGCGTGATCGCTGTTTACTAACGGTGGAAGAATATTTAAGTCGACAATATCCTCAGTCTCATGAGTGATTACCAAATCCAGCAGAGAAGAACCCTGGTTAACACCAAAACGTGTGGGTTGGGATACATGCTGCACTAGTGCATGCTCCATCAATGTTATCAGTAACCTACTATCAAAGGAGTTTATAGATCCTTCTGTGGTCATATCAGTCCAATTAATATCAGGTGCGTTAAAGTCTCCTATTATCAAGCACCTGGTATTATCACTCCAAAGATGAATGTGCTCTAAAACAAAGTCATCAGCTAAGCAGATTGGGCTCCGATAGATGACACCTAGCATAAATGTACTACATCCTATTGCCAACTTACAGCTAATGACTTCACAAGTGCCGCTATCATGGGATTCGCTAGTAAAGGAGCGGATATTTATGCCATTGGCGATATATAACAGGACGCCCCCTCCTTTTCTACATCTATGTCTATCACTCCTGATGCAATGGTATCCGGATAATTCTGGAGTAATGTCTAAGTCATGGACCAACCAAGTTTCTGTCACTGCTACTATGAGTGGCTTTAACCTGTCTACTAGTGCTTCTAGTTCATAGAGCTTATTTCGTGAACTAGGAGCGTTGGCATATAAAACTCCTAAGTAGAACAGCCTATCCACACAGGCCTTGGTAGCATTCACTTCCAAGACCTGACAATCCGAAAACCCACTAGTCGGAGATTTTCCTCGCCGTTTTGCCGACGGGTTTCAAGTTCAGCTAGTGCTTTCTTCCTTTTTATTCTATCTTCGAGAGACATGTCAGGTCTAGCTCGGATGTCAGAATTGTCATGACAACGAGCGCTACTTAACAAGAGATCCCGTTGCTTCTCCGATCCTAGGATTACCTTAGGGAGTCTGCATGGACGGGGTTCAACATTGTCCTCGGTCCTCTTGCCTATTCTTACCAATTTTTTTGACCTGAACTCCTTTGGAGTTATCTGGTAAAATACTACGAATGTATTCTCCTAGCTTTTCTAAGTCATGCGCGTGTCTAATTTTCGGATCAGAGTCGTTTGACTCCCGCAATTTGCTCACAATAATATTCGATGTTATTAGATTTTTCTTCTCAGTCACGCCAGGATGGGTTTCACTCTTACCTTCAGATCTTGGTAGTGCAATTTGTGGCTCACAATTTGAGTCCACCAGTAAGTTACTAACTACCTGTGTACTGCTTACAGCTTTTTTCTTTTCGGTTCGTTTCCTACGTACCGTATTCCATATTTCATCCCTCATAACACTGGGACTATTTGGAACGGTGACTGTTTTATCCAGATCTTCGGTTTCCATTAAAGGTGCATTATTAACAATGTCAGTACCAGATGGTACTACTCCCCCTGTTAATGTCAACGAAGATTCCACTTTTACGTCAGTCAGAGTCGATTTTTTGAGGCGTCGCGTAACAGCAGGTACTACACTGACACATTCGTCGCTGTCAGTGCCCGTGTTGTCGGCGCATATGCCATCCTTCTTTTTACAGGCCAAAGCCAACAGGCTCATAGCCTCCTGTATTAGTAATGCCTTGTTGGTACAGCAAAACATGCAAAGCCAATGTGAGTTAGGCTTCGAGCATCTTTTGTATGCGGTGGGACTTAAGCGGGTGCACATTTTGTGGAACCACTTATGGCATTCGTCACACTGCATCCCCTCTTCCACAGGGAACAAACAGTTTGGTTGCCCACATTTGTGAGTCTTACCAACCATTGTAATTCGATTTAAAAGGTTTAAAAACAAAAAATGATAACAATATGAATACAAGTGTTAGTCAAGGACTAAAAACAGGTACCCAGGACAAAATGTAGCAAAAATTTCAAACTTTAACCAAAGAACTCTTAGTTAAAGTAGACCAAGAATGCTTTTTAGTGCAATAAGTACCAAAAGCAAGTACAATCACAACAAGTACAAAATTCACTGCCCTTTTTGAAATTCGCGCGGGAACGAAAGCATTTTCTTGTTTGTGATCATCGGGGGTATGAATGGTTAAGTTATTTGGTTGTATATCTGCCAGAAGCAAACCCATGTCTCTTTGAATGATCCATTTGAGTCGATTCTACGGTCTTGATTGATATTTTTAGGTTTATTCAATGTTGTATATTTGGCACATTATAGAATTTTCAACACAAAGTATTTTAACAAGTTTCCGTTTCTCATTTCTTGGGTGATTCTGACGATAAATATTGAGTGGTTACCAGTTAAATGTTAAGAGTTCAGGAGTCGACATCTGAATAATGTACATTCTTTTCGGTGCATATTGCCATCAACCACAATGTCTATTATTGGGCTTTCTTTTAATTTGTACATCGAAAGGCTACGAAGTTTCCATAAAATTACGGAAATAAATTATGCAATTTATGGACACAATGATGTGTTTAAAAAAACAGATAACTTGTTAAAATTCCTAGATGGCAGCGACAAGTAACCTAGATATGCAAGCAAGCCTTAATGTTAATTGCCTTATATAGGATTATTTCTTGGTACAACTGGCAGTTGCATTTGATTTATAGACCATTACCGTGGTGGCCTTAGATAAAGTGACAGTACAATGGCTTGCCATAATGGATAAAGTGCATTTAAACTAACTAATATTGGAACAGAAAGAACACGCAGAAACTCTCTGAACAGCATTCTATTGGCGAATATTACCACTTAATTGGTGGAGAACACATTTAAGCTGGAGATAGAATAATAAACTTAGTATGAATAAAAGAGATAAGTTACACAAGAATGGCCGCGCTTGTAAGACTGTGCCATGTCATTCGATTAAACTGGATTAATTTTCCCGCTTTTCATGGTTAAACATCTCTTCGTGTCAATTGTTGAATATGAGTCTTTTCAGTAATTATATGCTTGGCTTCAAATGTCCAATGCCACTGCAAATCCTTGACTGCATAGCACAGGCTTTGCCATTTGAAGTGTTTTGCGCTTTTGATCTTATTTGTTTTTTTGTTAAATTTGACCGTTTAAATTAACACGAGCCACTTTAATCGTTCCGTACACCATAAAGAAGAATATAGTCTGACTTAATGGAATAAACTTTGGTTCGTTGGTACTGCGTTCGGACTGAATATTTGTTTTCTGGTTCTTAGATCCGTGCCAAGCAGCCTGCTCAGAGAGGGGAATAATTCGGACTCCAATTGTTGTCCTCGGTCAGTCGTGACAGTCGAGAGACAACCGTATAGTGCTATCCATCGTTCTACGAAGCGGTGAGCAACTGTCTCCGCAGTGATAGACGTGACATGAATAACTTCGGGCCATCTTGTGAAACGGTCGATGCATGTGAGTATGTGATCATACCCGTGCGATGGTGGCAATGGTTCCACAATGTCTATATGAACGTGATAAAAGCGAGCATCAGGCGTAGCAAACGAGCCAATGGGGGCAGCTACGTGCCTGTGCACTTTTGATCGTTGACATTGTAAGCATTGCTTTACCCATATATGGACATCTTTACTCGTGGACAGTCAGACGTATCGTGCAGCTATGGGACGTAATGTAGCTGTGATGCCTGGATGAGACAGTCCATGCAGGTCATCGAAGACGAGACAACGGTAAGCAGAGGGTACGATGGGTCGGGGAAGACCAGTAGAAGTACCACACAGGATAGTACCTGAGCTAGTAGCTAGGGGTACTTCCCGGTACTGAAGGGATGTAGGTTGCGGTGATTCTGTACAAAAAGGATCGTTCGCTTGGGCGGCAGCCATAGCAGGAAGATCGAACACCGGTAAAGTAACTGTATTCACTTTAATACGTGACGGAGCATCGGAAATATAGTTCGACTCGCCTTTAATGTGATGAAGGTCTGTTGTAAACTGAGAGATATAGTCCAAATGTCTGCACTCTAAGGGTGAGTAGCGGTCAGACTTGGTTTGCAGAGCATACGTTAAAGGATTATGGTAAATGAATAAGCTGAAGTAGCAACCTTCTACGGCGTGTCGGAAATGTTTGATGGCACAGTAGGCTGATAGCAGTTCTCGACTAAAAACGCCATATCTCATCTCCATAGGAGTGAAGCGTCGTGAGAAAAACTCGAGAGGTTGCCAACTACTGGAGATGTTCTGTTGCATAACGGCTCCTATAGCAAAATTCGATGCACCAACCGCTATACTAAGCGTAGATGATGGGTCAGGATGAGCGAGGAGTGTGACTTCAGCCAGAGCCGTTTTTGATCTCTGAAAAAGCAATACATGCGGAATCGTTCAATTTTAATTTGCGTGGATTACCGCGAAGCAAATCGGTTAATGGTTGTAACCGTTCTGGCGCGTGTGGGATGAAACGTCGGTAGAAGTTAACCAAACCGAGAAATGCTTTCAGTTCCTTGAGTGTTGACGGTACGGTGTACTCCTTTATTGCACGTACTTTGTCCTAACAAGGTAAAATACCCTCTTGCTTAGTGATGTGACCTAAGAACATTATTTCCGATTTCCCCAGTTCACACTTGTCCGGGTTGACTACTATTCCATTATCCGAAAGGCATTGGAGTAAGAGTGTAAGATGTTGATAATTTTCATCTACGTCTGATGATGCGATTAGCAGGTCATCAATATAGACGTGAACAAAATCTAAGTTCGTACTATTTCATCGATAAATTTTTGGAAAGTTTGAGCAGCATTCCGTAATCCAAATGGCATTTGTAGGAACTCAAACAGGCCAAAAGGAGTCGTGATAGCAGTTTTCTCGATGTCTTCGAGAGCGACTGGGATCTGATGACATACTCGTATCAGATCGATCTTAGAAAAGTAGTCATGCCCTCGAATGACACCGTGGTGTCATGTATGTGGGGGATGGGGTAACTAGCAAGAAATTAAGCCACGATTAATGCTCGGCAGTAGCTATATGGTCTCCAACTAACCCCATCCTTTTTGCGAAACATGTGGAAAAGTGAGACCCAGGTACTGTAAGAAGGACGAATAATATCAGTAGTTAGTAAAATGTCGAACTCACATTTAGCGAAAGCTAATTTCTCCAGTGCCGGCCGGCAAGGTCTTGCCGTGACTGGAGTTCCGGGGGTGACTATGTGGTGTACCACACAATTGGTCTCCTATGGAATCTTCTCGAGAGGTTTAGTCAATTGGAGGGAATTTCTGGAATAAAGCGCGGAATATATCGTCACGCGAATGAAATACATCTGTGGTTCGGTACGCGTTTGCCTGAGCTTTAAAGCTCCTGAGTTTACTGTTTGACGAAGTATCGATTAGCTGCAGCCTACGTGAATCGACTAGCATTCATAGTGCTGTAGAAAATCGATACCGAGTATGGCCTTGGGAACATCGGCAATGATGAACGTCCACAGATACTGTCGTCGGCTGCTTAGGTTGACCGTACGCTGTCATGTACCGCAGGTGGGAATGACTTAGCCATTCGCAGCGCGTGGTCGAAGCATTGTAGCTTACGACTTACTGTTACCAACCGGTAGGACAAAATCTTGGGCATCTGTATCTACTAGGTACCTAGCGTTAGTGCGATAATCATGCACATAAAGTAAACGACCAACTTAAAGTTAAGGGCCGGCGAGCACGGCCGCATTTATCGGCCGGCATGGGAGTTTCCAGCCTTGTATGAACAGGGGGCTCAACAATGGCGGGCACCGCACCCAAAGACACGGTGAAACCAGTTCAAACCAGTACTCGCTTTCAAAGCCGCCTCCTGGCGTGGCTTGGAATATGCCTGCTTAGAGCAAGTAATTACGCCTTCACGTGACCGCGACATGGCTCGTGGGATGTAGGGTTCTGATATGCTGGAACGGTTTCGGAAATTGAGACGGCTATGTATACGTGACGTTGAGGTGACTATATAGATGTTTCAAGTGCTAATATTTTGTCTGCTATCAGGGAGACCTGGTTAAGTGGTGCATCCTCAAACAGGGCCGTAAACTTAGGCTTTATATGTGCTGGTAATGATTCGAGCCACAATCCCTTAAATATTCCGGAATCGGCTGTCGTGGGTCCTTCTAAAGATTGCAGGCACGTGAGTAGGTAGTTCGATTTAGCATCAGTCAAAGAGTGACGTGCTAATAATGTCCCCCAAACGTCCCACCCTCGATGGGAATCGCCTACTTGAGACGATCCAACGATCGTCAGATACATCGGGATTGAGCACCACTTCACAGTCAACAGCAATATGATCCCAGGCAGCGTTTCCAGAGCGTAAGCGTATATTTGCCACTGTTTCGTAACATGGCGGATCTCGAATTGAGCCTTCAGTACCGGGAAACTGATTTCTGGATCGTGGGGGATAAAAGAGATAGGTCGGAAATTGATAACCTGTACATCGGTGTCTATTATATTAATGACATTCCCATCGTTATCCATTATTTCGAATTGTTGCCAGGATATTATATATTGAAAAGTAACAATATGAAATGTGAAACAAATCTAGATAGATAGATGTTAGACTGACAGTTATAGTCTTCTTCGAGAGATTTTCCAATGGTTGAGCCATGTCCGAAGTTGTCACTCACCAGATGTCGTAGGTGTCGAGTCGCGGCTGACTATGATCACCACTACAGCACGACTACGTGCCAGTTACAGGTTAGACCCCTCCATAGGCCAAATATCAGAAGGTAGTTGAAGGTTGTAGTTAAGGTGTATTCGTTGACGATTTCGTGCTATCGAAATAATAACGAGGTATTGCCAAAATCTACAAACGAGAGTTCTTAAAAGATCACAGTCAACGGAAGAGTGTTTTTTGGTACAGTTAAACAAACAGGTATGGGAAAACAATCACTGGTACAGTGCGCTATAATAATAATTGTTTCCATTACAACAATCGCGTTCTCTTCATATAAGTAGGTCACTAGATGTTCACAGAACTTTACTAAGAAGGCACTAACGTGTTGTCAACCTTCCATCCTCAATACAAAAATCTGAAATATATCCAAAATCGGGCGAACACAAGATTTGTCATTCTGTTTAATAGATTCTAGTTGCCAACAGATGACCA